TCAGCTTCAACTTGGTTGGAACTATTGAGCGGGCGACGCAACGTTAGGGCCTCTCCCTAGACGGTCATATAATCAGGCCACCTGCGCGCTACTGACCTAGATTCCTTGTGGGCTGACACACCCGTGTAGATCATTAGTAGTGATAAGCCCACGCAGGGTGCGGCGGTCAGTTTGAATTGTTGTTTGCTCATGCTTTGACATTGGATTATTTCTGCCTAATGCAGTTTGCTTTTCAAGTCATCTGGATTATGTGAATATTTTCTACATCATTGTGTGTGTTGAGGAACAGAAGTGGTGACTAATTAATTAATTAATTAAAATTGACCAACAGTTTTGAGATCGCAAATTTGAAGTGCTGTTTGGCTGCACTGTAGGCCTACTGTTCATTTTCAGATTCTTCATCACCACAGTACTCAATGCTTTTTTCATCTGGATTGTGTGAATATCAAATATCTCTTCCATCAGTGTACGTGTTTAGCTTAAACCTATATAGTGAAGTTTTGACCGTGAAAGTTTAATTCATATCTGTCTAAAATCCATGTCTACACAGTGGAGGCCCCCCTCCTGATCCGCACAGTCTTCACTGACTTAGAGCCTCTCTATGCATACAACCAATAAAAACTAACTCTCCATCCTATCCCTAGATCTACTTTTAGATTTAGATTAGTTTGTAACACAAACAATATGCTAAAAGGACCATGTAGATATAAATCTATATATCTAGACTCTGAGCGTCTAGGGGTCCACCCTTGTTAGGTAGGGAAAAGTATACGGATAATAATTATGGGGGAGCTCCTTTGTGTTTTTCCCGGCCTGCATTGTATATATATATATTAATATCTGCTGTTCTTTCACAGTGCTTACATGCTTCTCTTCTAGGCCTATTTATTGCTTTCATCATGTGTGGTTATGACTCTGTTGGACTATGACTGACACCTTCAAAATAAACTGAAGGAATAAGAACAACAATGGGAAGAAAATGCTCAGTTGGTGGATGCAAAACTGGCTATGACAGTCAGAAAGGTGCAGAAAAGGTGACCTTGTATGGATTTCCTTCGGATGAAACAGAATGTTGGGCATGGATTGCTAGCTTACCAAACATTTTATCCTAGGAAAAGGTGTCAAGATCAAAAAACATATCAGCGTGTGCCCTCCATTTCCGTAAAACTCTAACTCAACTCAACTTTCTGTCTTTCCATCGTTTTTGTCTGTCTAGAATTTTTTTTTTTACATGTCCATTAGTTGGAACACAAACACAGGGAACCTAAACCATTGAGAGAGAGAGAGAGAGAGAGAGAGAGAGAGAGAGAGAGAGAGAGAGAGACTAAGAGAGAGAGAGATTGAGAGGGGGAGAGAGAGAGAGGGGGAGAGAGAGAGAGATAGATAGATTGAGAGGGGGAGAGAGAGGAGGGAGAGATTGAGAGAGAGAGAGAGAGAGAGAGAGACTAAGAGAGAGAGACTAAGAGAGAGAGAGGGGAGAGAGAGAGATTGAGAGGGGGAGAGAGAGAGAGATAGATAGATTGAGAGGGGGAGAGAGAGGAGGGAGAGATTGAGAGAGAGAGAGAGAGAAGGGGAGAGGGAGAAAGAGACCGCCTAGCCGTGGCCGTTGTAATCATTATATTATCATTACGAAGGTCACTGCTTGCTGTGGGCCGAAGCCTGAGCGGCCGGTGTGCCAGCCCACAAGCAAGGTGTGTAGTTCTTGGGCTGCGCTGCCTGATTTATGATCGCCTAGGCCTTTCCCTATATAGTTACTCCAAGGGTTGATGTATTCTTAAATGTGAAGTATAGTATGGATGCTGCATTTCTATTGTTAGTGACTTTGTCACCGGTATTCCGATGAATGATAATAATTAAATAAGTAATAAAGGGTGATAAATCTAGGGAATCTACAATAATGTAGTCAATTCGCGAGGGAAACCAGACAACGACAAAAATAGATGGCGGAAAAACATCATCTATGATCTATTTTGGGCCAATCACAGAGGTATGCTAGGTGCTCTCAATAGCTTTATGTCGCTCGGAAGGCCGCTAGGCCGTGTATACGCTACCTAATATGGGTGCGCACTAGGCGATCATCGTCTAGGGTGCGCACTATGGATGGGATCGCCCGACTCGGTCGCCTCAAAAACAAAATTGTTTGTTTTCAGTTTCATGCGATCGAGTCGGGCGATCGGCCCGATCCAGCCGTAGTGGGCACCCCGCTAGGCGATCATAAATCAGGCAGCGCAGCCCAAGAACTACACACCTTGCTTGTGGGCTGACACACCGGCCGCTCAGGCTTCGGCCCACAGCAAGCAGTGACCTTCGTAATGATAATAATGATTACTACGGCTAGGCGGTCTCTTTCTCCCTCCCCCCCTCTCTCTCTCTCTCCCTCTCTCTCTCTCTCTCTCTCTCTCTCTCTCCCTTTCAATCTCTCCCTCCCCTCTCTCTCTCCCTCTCAATCTCTCCCTCCCCCCCCCCTCTCTCTCTCTCTCTCTCCCCCTCTCTCTCTTTCTCTCTCTCTCTCTCTCTCTCTCTCTCTCTCTCTCTCTCTCTCAATGGTTTAGCTTCCCTGTGTTTGTGTTCAAACTAACGGACATGTAAAAAATTATTCTAGACAGACAAAAGCGATGGAAAGACAGAAAGTTGACTTGAGTTGAGTTAGAGTTTTACGGAAATGGAGGGCACACACTGATATGTTTTGACACCTTTTCATAGGATAAAATGTTTGGTAAGCTAGCAGTTCATGCCCGACATTCTGTTTCATCCGAAGGAAATCCATACAAGGTCACTTTTTCTGCACCTTTCTGACTGTCATAGCCAGTTTTGCATCCACCAACTGAGCATTTTCTTCCCATTGTTGTTCTTATTCCTTCAGTTTATTTTGAAGGTGTCAGTCACAGTCCAACAGAGTCATAACCACACATGATGAAAGCAATAAATAGGCATAGAAGAGAAGCATGTAAGCACTGTGAAAGAACAGCAGATATTAATATACAAAGCAGGTCGGGAAAAACACAAAGGAGCTCCCCCATAATTATGATCCGTATACTTTTCCCTACCTAACAGGGGTGGGCCCCTAGACGCTCAGAGTCTAGATAAATATAGATTTATATCTACATGGTCCTTTTAGTCTACTGTTTGTGTTACAAACTAATCTAAATCTAAAAGCAGATCTAGGGATAGGATGGGGAGTTCGTTTTTAGTGGTTGTTTGCATAGAGAGGCTCTAAGTCAGTGAAGAGTGGGGGGGGGGGGGGGGGGGCCTCCACTGTGTAGACATGGATTTTAGAATGGATTTAGACAGATATGAATTAAACATGCACGGTCACTATAGGTTTAATCTAAGCACGTACACTGATGGAAGAGATATTTGATATTCACACAATCCAGATGATTTGAAAAAAAAACTGCATTAGGCCTCAGCTAAAAGAATCCAGGCATTCACTGAGTACGATGGCGATGAAGAATCTGAAAATGAACAGTAGGCCTACAGTGAAGCCAAACAGCACTTCAAATTTGCGATCTCAAGACTGTTGGTCAATCTTAATTAATTAATTAATTAGTCACCACTTCTGTTCCTCAACACACACAATGATGTAGAAAATATTCACATAATCCAGATGACTTGAAAAGCAAACTGCATTAGGCAGAAATAATCCAGTGTCAAAGCATGAGAAAACAACAATTCAAACTGACCGCCGCACCCTGCGTAGGCTTATCACTACTAATGATCTACAAGGTTGTGGGCTTACTACACGGGTGTGTCAGCCCAGAAAGAATCTAGGTCAGTAGCGCGCAGGTGGCCTGATTATATGACCGTCTAGGCACCCCGTATAAGACAAAGACTAGATCTAGGTGACCGGCTCCGGGTGGGCAGAAAATGCTAGCCACCCGAGGTCGCAGAAATCCCCACGGGCCCGTAGCGTCAGGCTACTCGACCGAATTCGGTCAACTAACCTGACGCTAGACACCCTCGATCGAGCGAGTAGCCTGACACTAGCCTGACGCTAGCCACCCTAGATCGGGCGAGTAGCACCGGCCTACTTATTATCGTTCCCGAGATTGCCGAGGATAGCGATGCACGTCCGTGCACAATTGAGCACTGTGCTGAAGTTGAAGTCCGGACATTGACTTTGGTTCAGAATGCTTTGTTAGCAAACGTACTGATCAATTGTTTCATGACCAGATGGGGGATGTACGGTAGGTCAGTTTTACAAGTGCCGAAGATTAGAGGTCTATGTTTGAATAGTTTGATAGGAAAGAAGAAGCAAACCATACCAGAGCACCCGCCAACCACACACAGAGTTGAGCTTTAGTCCAAGCAGCTTTTGCAGAATCTGAGAAACAAAAAAGTGTTGAAGACCGTTCGTTATTTTACAGGGACGAGACCGAGAGAAACAAGAGCATGGACGTGACGTGGACGATACAAAAGTAAACTGATCAGGTGCTTCCATATATATCAGTATCAGGCTGGAATTTGATTTCTAACTACATGTAGTTTGGCCCCATACCCAGCTCAAAGTGCTCCACGATACAAATCATGGTTTGTTGGGATACTAGATCTATGGTCGCTCAAGCTGTTTTATCTTTATGGTTGTGTTTAGTTTTGGTGTTGTCGAACTGTAGCGAGCCTTTCCAGCAAATTTTGATTATATCAGATTCTATTTCTTTCCAGTACAAAGTGTTCGATTAGACCTCTATGTTTACCTTGAAAATCTAGTTCGTTAACGTGTTCTGACTCCGGGAGAGGGTTTGGAATAGGTCGATTCTGAGCCATGGTACTACGAAACTGGTCTCAGAAGAGACCTCATCCATTTGGGGTTCATTCTGTTTCCATACGTTTGTGTTCTCGGTAATACTTAGCTTACTCCGGCTACTCAGTTGTGTGCAAAGAAGGAAAAACGTGTTGAACATGTAGGCCTAAAATAAACCCAAAAATGCGCACTGAGCGAACCGGAACAGCTGATGCGCAAGGAGTGCTATTCCTATTCTTCTTCTGGAGAAACGAAAGAGAGCTTTCAAAGCGACACCTGAACCAATGCGCGGACTTCCGCAAACACTTTTTTGGCCGAGTGAACTGCATGTATCTTGCTCTGTGTACAATCTTTGGTCCTACCAAAGAGGTTATAATAGTATTAGAGGTCGCAGCTGTGACGTCACCCACGTAAAATAAAACTCACTGGCTGTGCAGGCCACTCAGCTCGCTTTGTCGCAATTTTTGAGAGGATTAGAAACAGCGCTGTCAGTCGAATCTGTCACTCGCAACACCTAGGTCTTCATAGAATTTGAAGGTCAGTCAAGTTTTATTGGAAGTTTTCTTTTTGTTTGCTGTTATTTAATCATACATACACGATACATATATATACACAATAACCGCACCTGTTGACCGATTGCGGGAAATGCTCTTTAATGTGGGCTACAAATGAGCAGAGATATAATAATTAATTTGATGCAGGCTTCTTGTTTTTTTCCCCCGGGCGGGGTGGGGGAGGGGTTGGAGGAGACAAAATGAGTAATTGAGTTTGTTAAGAAAAATGACAATTTCATATCAAAATGGATTGCTTTTATGTCATGTTGTTTACACTCTTCTTCTACTAGAGATGCAAAGGCTAGGTCTTCAGAGAGTATATGGGGGTTAAAACTGGGTTCATTATTTAATATAGGCTAGGCTAGGCCTATCAGTTCTGAAGAAGACTTTTTTGTGTAGTTCATTTATTATAAACGGTAGATGATGATTTCATCTGTGAACACGGACTAAAAGGGACAATGAATGATACAGGTAGGCTACATAATAAATAACATGACAATGAATGATACAGGTACATAACAAATAACATGACAATGAATGATACAGGTACATAACAAATAACCTGACAATGAATGATACAGGAACATAACAAATAACCTGACAATGAATGATTCAGGTACATAACAAATAACATGACAATGAATGATACAGGAACATAACAAATAACATGAAATAATGTGGGGTACACAACATAACGTACAGGGAACATGAACTAAACATCTTCACTGTAACTCGTAACCATACAAATTTGTTATTGCCTCAAAATGAGCAACTGACTGTTGGCTGGGATGTATTGTGAAGCACTGACTGTATCGATCCTGTGCGCACACACAAAGAGCGTTGTTTAACATCGGACACAAAGTTATTGAGGCTAGATCAAGGAGTTTAGAACTAATGGAGCCTCCTCTCTCTCTTCGCGGCGCCACGAGCAGCACGCCGCGGTGGGGATCAAATATGGCCGCCGAGTGTGGGCTAAATCACGAACTGTGGCGGTTCTTTTTATAGAATCTTATCGGGCTGGGCCACGTTGTGGGGGTGGGCGGGGTGGGGGAATGCACGCAAGGAAGAGGGGATGGAGCAGGGATGAAAGAGGTGGGGCGGGCCTTGGGAAGGGACGAAGGAGAATGGGAAAAATTAAATAACAGACAGACAGACAGACTCTGTGTGTGATACGAACTATTCAATTCTTTAAGAGTTTTATGTTATAATCTAGTTAAAAAATCAGAAAGATGTGTAAAATAAGAAGAAAACTTGTCCAAGTAACATAAAATTATCAAACATACCAAATTATAAAGATAATCTTTCAAGATGCCCAAATATTTAATTATTAGAAATGGATAAAAATATACTTTAAAACTGAATTTAAGATATTATGATTGCATGATTCTAGGCGTGTGCCATAACTAACTTTATGTGTAAGGAATAGGGGTGACCTTATTTAGGCCACATATGGCCTAAATAAGCTAAACCCCCCTCCCTTACCTTATTTAGGCCACACCTGTGGCCTAAATAAGCTAAAAACCCCTCCCTTACCTTATTTAGGCCACACCTTTTATACAAAGTCACAGAAATATTCCTTTTGTGCTTATTGAGGTGCAGTGCAGGGTGATTTTACCTGCAAGGATAATTGGACAAAAAGGGCAACATCTTTATTGCTAATGGTCATATTTAGACAAATCCTATATCATTGTCTTTTTTTTCTTAACTGCTCATGGTTATTAAAGAGTAAGCCAACTAGGCAGTAATTTCGGATTCCTAATACTAATATTATGGGCATTCTTAAAATTTTAAAACTTGTTTTTACCGCTTTTCTCAACGTAAAACGGATTCCGTAAAAAAACAAAACAACAATGACCTTATCTTTCTTATATTCAAAGTATTGTGCATATGTATGTGTGAAACTATCTATGCTTTCATGTACATGAAAAAAGCTAATAAAGGCAAGCAAAATGTTCTTCAGAGACATAGATCTAGTAGTAGGCCCACTGGAATTTTTTTATAAACCGGGAAAGATGACCAGAAAATAACAAAATTATTTTATGATCTTCACTTGCACTTGCAATTTTTTGGACAAATTATAGTCTACCTCATTGTCTTTTTTTCCCCGCATTTTTCTTCACTATTCATGACAACTGGCATGTATTGTTTTCCGTTATTATCAAAAAAGTGGATAGGCGGACTACGGGGTCTATCTAGCCAAAAGGATAGGTGGACCCCGGGGTCTACCTAACAAAATGCTAGGTTTTAAGATGTGAACCCCAGAGTCAGCGTAGTGAAATAAGTAGTAGATCTAGGTTTAACTAAGGATCGGTGGACCCCGGGGTCAACATAGTGAAATAAGTAGATCTCAGTTTATTTTATAGTGGGACTGGCGGAGCCCGTGGTCAACGTAGTGAAATTATAAGTAGAAATAGGTTTAATTAAGGATTGGTGGACCCCGGGGTCAACCTAGTGAAATCAGTAGATCTAGGTTTAATTAAGAATTGGTGGACCCTGGGGTCAATGTAGTGAAATAAGTACATGTAGATTTAGGTTTAATTTTAAGGATTGGTGGACCCTGGAGTCAACGTATTGAAATAAGTAGGTTTAAGGTGGACCCCAGGGTCTACCTAACGAAATACTAGTTACGTTTTTAGAATAGGAGGAACCTGCAGTCACCGTAGTAAAATAAGTAGGTTTAATCAAGGTGTCCCGGGGGTCCACCAATCCTTAATTAAACCTTCTTATTCCTCTACGGCTATGGTGACTTCGGGGTCCACCAATCCTTTTAAAATTAACCTTACTTGTTTCACTACGGTGACCCCGGGGTCCACCTGTCCTAAAACCTAGTATTTCGCTAGGTAGACCCCGGGGTCCACCTTAAACCTGCTTATTTATCACTACGTTGACCCCGGGGTCCACCAATCCTTACTTAAACCAAACCTTATTTCACTATGGTGACTCCGGGGTTCACATCCTAAAACCTAGTATTTCGCTCTGCAGACCCCAGAGTCCACCTATCCTCTACAGGACTAAACTATTATCAATTTGCAATTTTCATTGATTAGCATATAAAAAAAAAAATATTGAATCAAGAGACTCGCTGTCTAAAAAGTCCACTGATAATGCTATTCTTTTCAAAGAAAATGGCACAATTTGATTTTATGACATGTTGAAAAAAAGAGTTTTAAAATATCCCGAAAACAACATAAAATGATTTTATATAGATCTCTCTCTCTCTCTCTCTCTCTCTCTCTCTCTCTCTCTCTCTCTCTCTCTCTCTCTATATATATATATATATATATATATATATATATATGTGTGTGTGTGTGCTTGTGTGTGAGTATTTTATTATGTATACTAAAAGACTGAGCAGAGGCTTACAATGTAAATTCTGTGCTCTACAAGTAGAGAAAATATTAAGTTTGCGCAAAACAGATTTTAGAAAAAAAAGTTGGATCTAATTATTCTAATACAAGTAAAAGGGATTGTTATGCTGAGATTTGTTATTATTGACTCTGGAAATACAGTTACTTGCTGAATCTAAAAGTAACTAGAACTGTGCAATTCGTTTTATTTCAATTCCAAAGCCCAAAGGCATAGCAATAATAAGTTAGATCTAGATCTAGCAGTTGTAGGCTCTCTGGCTGCTTCTAGCATAGGCCTGCTACTACTGATTCTAGACAGGGAATCTAGATTTTGCTATTGCCTGCACTATTAAAGTCAAATATATGGTAAAATAAAAACAAAACTGAATTTTTTTCAGTCAGTACATCCCAATTGCCATAGCCGCACATATTAATAGTTGAATAATGCGATACCGCAGCAACACGTTATCACAGTGTGCAGAGGAGAGCGAGGTGCCCGGTCGATTCGGTGGTTCAGCTTTTGTAGATCTATGCATTTTTTACGGAAAGCCCTATTACCTAACCCTCTTACTAGATCTATTAGTGTTGTGAAAACTTCAACCTCTACAGCTCAGGCGTCAAAAGATGCTGGAAAATAATAATACGTCCTGAAGTTTCATAATTTATTTTTATACAGAATAACACGGTACACAGCCAGTAGTTTTTATTTCATCGAGTTATAAAAATGGCCTTCGTATAAAAATTGCCTTGTTTTCAGAAGCAAATTCTAATAGTTCTAGTTCTACCGAATCGATTTTCACGCGAATTCAACCATTTTGATGATCTTTCTTTTCCTTTTAAAAAGATGTAGATCTAGGCCTGTCGGATGTGGCAGTGCGAATAACACTGAGTTGTTTAGATCTAGACCCATCAAAACACGAGGCTTCGTGGTCGATCACAAAAGTCTACAGGGCTTATCGAGGCCGATTCGCCCTCAGCACGTTCACTAAACTGCCTACTAGATAGAATCTACTACCAAATATTCTCTACACGATCTTTGCTACTACTACTACTAGGCCTACTAGCCAGTACTACTACGAGACAGTACGAGAGAGTGTCACTCAGGCAAAGATAGTGTAACTTTGACTCAGCCACGTAGTGTACACTCTTTTTATACCCCAAATTTAACCCGGAAGTCCATTCGGAGGATTTGACCTTTTCACTTGACCAAAGTGTGCCAAAATGGTAGCCTAGCTTTTGCCCCTCCATGAAGGAAAAATCTGGCCCTCATTCAAACCATTGGGATTGAGCAAAATTTTGCGTATTGTGCTTTGTTCTTTACAATATATCATTATGGTTATGATTTATAAGTTGTACACTGAGACAAAACCGTACTAAATGAGAAAGGTGCACCATTATGAAAGTGGAACGAACTCAGTTGCCTGAAAAGGGTAGTTTGAGCATGTGTGGCCTAAATAAGCTAAACCCCCCTCCCTTACCTTATTTAGGCCACAGTCCACTGTGGCCTAAATAAGCTAAACCCCCATCCCTTACCTTATTTAGGCCATATGTGGCCTAAATAAGCACTCCCAAGGAATAGCGAACACAACAGAGGGTCGATGCCAGCTTTATCTGATTGCTAACAGTATGTCTTGGTCTATAAATAATAATATTATTGATTACAATAATTTTGTTTCCTGGTTTTCACAAAGTAGAGGGCACAATGATTTCAAATATTCTTTAAAAAGAGATAACAGCACCTTTTGAGGTGTGATCGCATGCATGAGCGTAGATGACCTTTGAAGGTTATCTTCTTCTTTTTTTTTTTGTTCAGTAAAGTATGATATGGAGAGCAGCGTTTTTAGTCCCTTATTACACTCCGGGGGGGGGGGGGGGGGGGGGGGATAATTTATCTCAGTGATGACTCTTGTGTATTAAAATTTGATGTTGCTTTGTTTGGTGTTTTTTTTTAACAGCAGAATCTTAAGTGAACCGGAATTAATGATTGTGGGATCTTGGGTGAAGACTGCAACAATAGAATTAAACCGAGTATAGTTCTATCTAACAAGACTCAAACTCTTATCCACCCCATCCAACCCTCTCCCCTCATCTGATATGGTTTGGTGTTTCTTTAACATAGAAAATATTCATCATTATTGTTGTTGAGTATTGATTTCATATTCTAATGGAGCCTCCACATATCTACATTTAGACAACAGTAGCATCTAATTTGCACACACAATGGAAAACAATATAAATGTATAATATGTATATACATACACATACATAATAATTTTTATTATATATATATATATATATATATATATATATATATATATATATATATATATATATATATATATAAATAAATAAAAGAATAAGAATACTTCTAAAAAAATTGAGTATCTCGGTCTTTCTGCTGGGATGTTGTATCCCTTTCAGCCTGGGTTGGCCTTGGCATAAAGCGCCGGGGCCAGCCTCTTATGAATGTTAATGATCTAAATTGTGTTGCTGGGGGCATAAAAACACTTTCATTCAAATTTTTTAAAAGGAAAACAACTTAACTGTGAAAACTTCGGTCCACTGCAGCATCATACCGGTTCTTACACTTAAATACAACACACATATATGCAAGGCATTTTTACTAATTGACTTGCCTAATCTCAAGGACCTCGGAATAAAACCTTCTTTCTTATATCTAGATTTCAGTGCGTGAGTCGGGGATTCGCGCAGCGCAGGTAGACCACAGTTCCGCCGCGAGAGAGGGCTCCTACCTACTCCTATCAGGCGTGCGGTGCCGCCGACAGAGCATCCTCCATTACTTTTAATCTCCTTGGGCTAGATCAAAAAACTTTTCTTCATAAATTATTTAAATCTCTCCAACAGAGAGGTTTAAATATGCCTTGGCCTAGGCCTACAACCTCTTATTGATCCTCAAATAGCCAACACGTAGAAAAAACGGGGCTCTTGTGGCCTTGAAGTGAAGGTGTTGGCCTCTCTTTCAAAGGTCCCGCGTTTGAATCCGGATAGCGACCGAAACATTTTCTTCTCTAAAAATTGTCTCCTTTCACCTCATTTCCTGCTCTCTAGCAATGTTCTGTCGTCTGCTTTCGTCTCCTCTTTCTGCCCCCCCCCCCAACCCCTTCACCTCCTTTGCCCCCTCCCCTGGACTCCAGGCTCTTTCTGCAGCGTTTCTACTGCTATAACTCCTTGGCTCCTTCTTAATTACTGCTGTCTTTCAGCCGCACCCCTGATCTTCTGGTAGGTCAAAGATATGCACCTAGTCTTCTCGGACATGGGAGAAAAATCTCGGAGGGCTCGTGTGCAAGTTGCGCACGTTAAAGGTCCCTTGGTGGTTTAAAATCGATAAGTAGGCTTCGTTTAGAGAACCTTAAGTCTAGTGCTGTAATCCCATTTCCCGCCAGACAGAAATTTATAGTATTTCCTATATATATAGATCTAGGCCTAAAATGAATCTAGGAAGAAACGTTTTTAAATTTAGCCTCAGTTGTGGAAAAAATAATATGAATAAATGTAGACAAATTGATGTACAAAGTATAAGGGCGACATTAGTCAGCTGTTACACTGTAGAGATATTTGAGGATAAGTTGCACCAATGATTTTTGACCGCACTAGGCCTATACAACTGGGTACAGTTGGTAGCGGAGAATCTTTGGATACATAAAACTTCACGGCCAAGCAATGGACTTTTAAAAGTTTTATCTACGTGTGTGTTTATTGTATATACCTCTCTACTAGGCCAATAGGAATGGATCGATATTTTACTCTTCAAAACTCGGACGACTACCGCTAGATACAGGAAGTGAGACAGACCCCCTAAACAATGGCACTTTGGTCACACTGGTCGTACCTCGTAGGAGACGAAAAGGTAGGGGTGATATTTTTATATTAGATTAGATTTATATTAGGCTGCAGTGTTTTTTCCTCTACTCTTTAAGTCGAAACAAATGTAGGACATTTTGGGGCTCTTTGGAAATTGCCTTCCCGTTTGTTTACAAGAAACAGAAGGGATTGCTAGATTGAGATCTAGATTCTAGATTATTAGATGATCTAGAATCTAGATCTAGATCTAGAGATCTAATCTAGATCTAGAGTCCATATAGAATATATATGTATAGAAGATTCTATGTTACAGCTATGAACACCATCCTACAAAGCGACGCATAAGCAAGTGCCAGTAATAGTAATACTTCTTCTGCCTTTTTGGGGAAGGACTTCCGTAACGAGCGACCACCCCATCAAACACAATAAAGAAGAGGCCTAGACCTAACCCTAACCCTACCCCTAACCCTACCCCTACCCCTAACCCTAACCCTACCCCTACCCCTACCCTTACCCCTACCCCTACCC